CTATTCCTAGAAAGGGCCTTCGGGTGGGATGAAGACAGAGATCCTTGGTAGGAGTTATCGTGGCAAGAGGAACATGAGGAAATAAGTGCCATGTCCCAGTCTCTCTCACCTTGTCAGTCCCTGTCCTGGCTTTTGTTCAGTCACAGGCCAGTGCCCACACCCTTGTGTCTTCCATGCTGCAGCTCCAGGACTTTGGGTCAGCCTGCTCAGTGCCTCATCTCTAACCCCTGTCTGTTTCTAGCAATCAGAATTCTTAGTACTCCTGCTGTGCCCGGGACTCAGTGTTGGTGATGTTGCCTGGGAAAACAATTCTCCCAGACCCTCTCATTGTAAAGAGTGCAATGAAGAGCAAATAGAAGGAACCACAGAGGTGGCAGAGCCAGTCAGGACCTCCACAAGATGGTCAGAGTCTTGTTACTTGGCTACCCCTGGGCATTTATCAATCCTCCTTGATCACATCTGTGAAATGCATCTCAGTGGGGGTGAGCATTCAAGATAGTTATATGCTTGGAAACCATTCACCAAAGGAAGTGTTCTGTCCCTTTAAATCCACTCACTGAAGACCTCTGTGTCACTTTATTTGAAAACAGCAGTTTCAAAAAGGTAATTAAGTTGAAATGAGGTCACAAGGGTAGGGCGTCTTTGGGGAAGCAGTGGCTGGGGCTGTGTCCTTGAAAGATAAGCCTTCATTGACTGGTGAGATGGCTTAGTGATTAAGAGCACCTAAGCTCTTGCAGAGGACCTGGGTTGAGTTCCCAGCATCAAACAGGGCAGTTTGCAACTACTTGTAACTGAAGCTCTAGAGGATCTGACGCCCTCTTGCCGCCAGAATGGACAAAAGCATGCATGTGCTCACACATAAAATAAGAACTTTTTATTTTTTTTGGTTTTTCAAGACAGGGTTTCTCTGTGTAGCATTGGAGGCTGTCCTGGAACTCACTTTGTAGACCAGGTTGGCCTCAAACTCACAGAGGTCCACTGGTCTCTGCCTCCTGAATGTTGGGATTAAATGCATGTTCTACCAAGGCGCGGCCAATTTTTTTTGGGGGGGGAGGGGGAAGAAAAAAAAAAAGGATGGGAGGGAGGGAGAGAAGGAGGAAGGAAGACTTTTTTTCTTGCCTTTCTGGTTGCTCTTTCTTCTTCCTCAGAAGCTGTGACTCAGCTAGATGGTCCTGCTCTACCATGCCATTCTGGCCCTATGAACAGTTCCTTCCCACAGGCACAGAAACAACACAACCAGCCACCATGGACTTGTTGCAGGTTACCCTGCTCGGACACCCCTTGGGGGAGGGGGGAAAAGATGCAGCACTAACAACTCAGGCACTGGGAGTCAGTGAGTAGCAGAGCTGCAGACTCGTTTATTAAGGAAGTTAGGCCTGCCTTTATACCCCCTCCCAAGGTCCTATTGACTCAGGTGCTGACTCTGCTTTGTTGTCCTTTCCTCATCGGTGTCTCTGGGTCAGGTGTCCCTCTGTCAGTGTCTCTGGGTGTTGAGGTAGGCTTGGCGGCTTGGCTTAGGGAGGAAGTGCCTGGCTGGCCTGGACACCGGAGGCAGGGCGATCGTGGCATGGGTAGACTAGCCGAAGTTTCTCCTACATGGACTGAAAACTCTGACACCAGGAACCAAAGTAAATCTCTCTGCCTTTTGGTTATTTAGATCAAACTCTCCAAGGTTCAGGACATACCTTAGCTTGCTGACCAGAGTTCAGGGCAGATGAAGTGAATTTGAAAGGCTAAGGTGGCCTAAGGCTTTGGTTCTGTTGCCCACATATGTATTAACTAGTCTTAGAGAGCTGTTGTGATTTTGTCTCTCCAGTTCCTGCATGATGCAGCTGCCTTTAACTCTCCTCTGAACCACCTTTACTGTCTTGCACTAACAAACCAAATAAACCTCAAACTCGCTCTCATTTGCATAAGGGTCGGATCTTTGACTTTTTAAAAAGCATACAAGGAACACTGATATTTCAAGAGTATAAACACCTTTAAAGGGAAGATAAGGTATCTTGGGTTGGGATTTACTTTTCTTATGAATTCTAGACACCCCCCCCCCACATTCCTACATTAACAGTTTAACAAAAACCGTGAACCCTGGATCCTTTCACAAGCAGACCAAGCCTGAAGCAAACATGGAGTTGTGTGTTATTCTTCCTTCCCATTTTATTGTATTCAGAGATGCTTAACCTGGGCCTGTTATTTAATCCCTTCCTCTCACAAGGTGGGGGTCCCATAGGACACTGTAGTGGCTCATCCTAGGCCATTTGCGTTTAAGCAGGAGACTGAAGTTTTAACCTCAATTGATTTCTTGGACTTGCCTCTAAACTCCTAAATTACTAATCCCAGAAAATTTCCAGTTGTATATTAAGATTTGGGAAGATTTTTGTTTGAATGGTCAATTACTTAGCGAACATTTAATCCCAAGGAATGAAACCTTAACTGTGGCAGACTCTAGTACAGTAGAAAGACCATGAAGCCTGGCTATGTGGGCAAGTTCTTGCTTTGCCTTTTACTAGCTATAAAATCTTGTACAGATCATTTGATTTTATGGAGTCTCCTTGTCTGTGACTGTATCTATGCCTTGCAGGAAAATTGTGAGGCTTAAGAAACATCACATATGTAATTTTAGCATTCTGGAGAGTGGGAGCATGGAGGATAGTGAGTTTGAGGCCAGCCTTGACTACATAGCAAAACAGTATCTCAAAAACAAAAATATAAAGTGGTATATGTTGTTGTGAAAAGCTTCAGGCATTGCCAATTTGCAGTGAAGGAGATGCCTGAGGTCCTCCAGAAAGCAACCCCAGAAACTACTCTAATTGTATTGATTAAGTGCCTCCATCGATCACAGTTATTGATTTTTAACCTTAGTCCATGGACACTTGTTCTCTAGTTACCTTAAATTCCTCTTGCCACCCATCTGCTCCTCCTGTTTCTAATTAAAAATTTGAAGTTGCACGAAAATTCGACAGGAACGGTTTCTATGCAATGTTTTCCCCAAGAGGAGCAGATTGCACTGTTCATGGAGTCAGCTCCCAAACTAATTTAACTCTCAGCCCTAGCCTTCATACAGAGATGTGGAAAGCAGAAATGGAGCTGTGCTGAGCCGTGCCAGTTGGACCGCCTGGTGCTTCTGACTCACTTCAAAACGATTATCGTGTCAATAGAAACATCCCCTCTGCACCCTTCCCAGATTTCTGCAAGGAGATGCCATTAGAAATTCAAGGTGTGGAGGGAAGCTGTACACTAAAATTGTGATCGGGCTAAAAGACAAGGTAACACTACACATTGTGTGTGGGGGGGGGCATGGTCACGTGATCAAGGGGAAGCAAAAACAGTGGGGAAAATCCATCTGCCTCAAGTGAGGTAGAGTCATACTAAAACACAGCCCTTGCTAATCAAGCATTTACTATGTATATTATTATTTAATATTTGTGGTATTAATCAAGGTAGGTTAATTGCTGTAAGAAACAAAAATCCAAAATTTCAGTGACTATTATAGTAATTGATTGTTTGATTTTTGATATAGGTTTTCTCTGTGCACCTTTGGAGCCTGTCCTGGAACTTACTTTGTAGACCAGACTAGCCTCAAACTCACACAAATATGCCTGCCTCTGTCTCCTGAGTGCTGGGATAAAAGGTGTGTACCACCACTGCCCGGCTATGGATGGCTTCTTATACCATAGTATGACCAAAAGGAAGGAGAGAAACTTGGGCTGCTTTTTGAGAAACTTCAGCCTCTCTAGGACCCTGGAATCATTCTCTGGATCATTTGCAAATTGTTGGACAAACTTGCAAAGAAAGGAGTTCAGATGACAAGAACCCACAGAAGGTTTCTTAAGGTACAAGCCTGAATGTAGCATGTATTTCCACCCACATTCTAAGGGCTAGAACTTAGTCATATGCTTGAGTTAGCTGCAAGAGAAGCTGGGAACGTCCACTGGAAATGAGTAGGAAGAAAAAGAAACAGAGTTTGGATAACACATCATTTCTGCCATAACTACTCACTCTGGCCCCCATACTGAAGATGAAACTGCACTTCAGGCAGGTAAAGTAACTTGCCCAATAGTACCTGGCAAACAGGTGGCTGAAGCAGGACACGTTCTTGGTATCCTGAGTTCTTGGAGGGGGATGACCCAAGAACCTGACTACAGTTTATGGTATCTTGGAGCTAAAGAAGAAACTGTCATGCCTCCTGAGCACTCTCCAAACATGGGCATTGTCTGACATTTGCAAGCCAACTTGTGACTGTTATAGTCTTCAAGACCACAATGGAAAGACAAAAGTGACAATAGTGTGAGGACAGGTGATCCAGGAGTGTGCATCTCTAGGGATCTCATGCTCCCCACAGACATCATCCTGGCCTCCTAGCTTGTTCCCTTTGTGATAGAAAATAGGCTGAGCTCATCATGCACCATGGCTATACATGTAATTGTTGCACCCTTCTTCCAGGACATCTTGGAGTCTACCATTTAATGCCATCTACTGCCATATAATTCTGAGGATTCCTGCCACATTCTAGACTTAGAGACACCTTCCTTGCTATATGAATGTCCCCCAGAGGAGCAGTGGCCCCCATGGGTCATCTAAGACATATAGTGAACACTATTTCCTAATTCTGCATTCCAGCTATGTAGAACTGTGAATAGCCTCCTAAACATAGCCTGCCCTCTTACCCCAGGCTTTGATACTCCTTGTCCCCTCTACATGGCTCTAGAATCACTGGTGTGGATCTGACCATTGGGAACTTATTTTTAGTCTGCCAGGTAGTTCTATTTTAGGGACACGTTGAAGATCAGGGGAAGGATCAGCTTAAGTCGATCAGCCACTCACATTCTCCTTGTCAGATGGGCAAATGAAGAGATTTGTTACTAACCAAGGCAGATGGGACTTTAAGAGGGTCCGTTCCTCTGATCTGTCTGTCTATCTTCTGGATCGTCCTGGACCCACTCCAGTATGTTTTCCAAGGCTCCTAAAACATCTTTAGCTGGTTCCCATCATAGAATCAGTGTAGGAAGCCGGTTCCTGCATTATAATGCTGCCTGAAGACACCAAGGTGTGAATTACTTCACAGGCGCTGGGTAATCTCCATTCCTTTGATCTCTGCCTATCCCGTGGCTCATTCTTGCCTGAGGAGCTAAAGCCATTCATAGGGTAATACGTCCCAGGCGGCTGGTCAGCCTTTTATATAGGGATGGTTTTCTTAGTTCAATGTCTCTGCTTAGTCTCTGCTCAGTCTCTGTTCAGTCTAATGCATTAAAGCTTGTCTACAGAAGGATCCGAGTGTCCTGCGTGTATTTCTTGCTGGCGAGGAATACAGAGAGCGCGCGGGACATATGGTGCTGAAACCCGGGAAGCTTAACATCTCCAACACCTCAGAGACCCCTCTAACGAGGCGGATTCAGAACTGCAGGGTGGTAAATTCGGAGAGGTATGATTTTTCT